AGAAAGAAAGAGGGGGGAGAGGGAGAGAGAAAGAAAGAAAGAGGGGGGAGAGGGAGAGAGAAAAAGGAAGAGAAGAGGAAGAGAGAGAGAGAGAGAGAACACAATTACCTTTCCGTCTTGTGGTTGGCATTGAGGAATTCTCAATTTCTCATCTTTTTATAGCGCCCGCCCCTGCCATTTTAGGAGCTGCACATCAAAAGGGAAGGCTTTGCCAGATGACATTTTGCCTGCAGGATACAGGCTTGAAAACACGCACAGGAGTTCAGGTGCTGTGCTTAATTCCTTTTGCATGCGTAGAAGAGCAACACCTGAAGCCCTGGCAGGGGAAAGCGATGCTTGCTCAATTTGAAGCGGCCCTGAGAAATCCAGCCCTTGTATACCCAGAGCAGCCAGCTTTTCCCATCTGCTAATTTCCAGAGCCGACTTCTGATTGTACGAGAAGCAAATACCTCCGTGGAGGAAGTGGGGGTGTGGGTGGAAGATATTTGTCTCGGATTCTCCTCCTCCCTTCGTTTTGGATGAGTTTGGGAAAGGGTGAAAAAGAATTAGGAGATTCTAAATTGGTTTGCGGCAAAAACAGAGTAGCTGTTGGGCAGAGGGTGGGCATTGCATGGGGCTGGAAGGAGGTGGGTAGAGAGCGTCTCCTTGGCTCCAGGGCTGATTTTCGGGTGCCCTGCTGGAACTGTGAGTGTCCCCACAAATAAATCTGGAACCCCATTTGAAATCTTTTCCTTTCCAAGTTCATTGATGTGACTCCTTCCGGTTGGCTGGTATGATTCGAAGGACTGTAGGAATACAGTTTGCGGGTGTGGTGCCAACTGCCTACCTGACCCATTCTTTGATTAGAGATCATGAGAGACGTTGTGAACGGATAATTTCACGTAGCATTGCAACAACTTCCCCCTGAAAACGGAAGGAGTGAGGAAGGAGCTCAAGATTGTCTCACTTTAATTCTCTTTGGTGTCGGAAGAGAAAGTAAGTAGAGAAAAGTAAAGTCTTAGGCAAGGAAAACCAAAAGTATACATATAGATTGGGAGAAATTAGGCTTAATACCAGTAACTGGGAGAGGAATATTGGAGTCTTAGCGGACAGCCAGCTAAATAGGAGCCAGCCGTGTGCAGCAGCAGCCCAAAAAGCTAATGGAATCCTAAATTGTGTTAACAGAGGGATACAATCGAGATCAAGGGAGGTACTAAAACCACTCTATAAAGCCTTAGTAAGACCACACCTAGAGTACTGCGTCCAGTTTTGGTCACCACACTATAAAAGATGTTGAGATTCTAGAAAAAGTACAGAGAAGAGCAACCAGGATGATTAGGGGACTGGATGAAATGGAAATAATGGAAATCATATAGAATGGAATGGAAGAATAGAATAGAATAGAATAGAATAGAATAGAATAGAATAGAATAG